ATCTGTGACGTACATTTTTTGCGCGAAACTCAATCGAGAGAAGGCTGAAGTGAAAGTGGCGACGTTGAAAATGAGCAAAAAAGATAACGGTATGTTAAAATATATATTTGTCAGACAATTTTTAGATTGAACTAAAGCATTTGTCTTATTGGACACTTATAGAGAAAGCAACACACGTTTGCTATAAATGAAAATAAGTGAAAACTGTTAGCTCAGTTAGCTTCTTAGCTAACGCTAGCTAGGTTAGCGACTTATTTCCAGGTGTTAAAAATGCAAGAAAGATGCGTCAGTGTTGCCACATGTATACAGTAACATCGTAGCATTGATGTCGTTATAGGGACGTCACTGATTCTTGCCTATTTAAATGAAAAGAACCGACCTTACAGTGCCCAGGATGTCTTCTGTAATTTGCAGAAGCAGCACGGATTGGGCAAAACGGTGAGGTTAGATTTTTCTCCATAAARTMCATTTGTTTATGTCGTGTGAATGTAGCTCYATGATTGACAACGTACTTCTCCAATCAGGCAGTGGTCAAAGCCATGGAGCTGCTGGCTCTGGAGGGGAAGATAAAGGAGAAAACATATGGCAAGCAGAAAATATACTTTGCCAATCAGGTTAGTCTGTTTGAAATGTATTACTGTGGGCAGGATCTATGTAAGTAACTATTTAATTTGACTATTCCTCATCTCATACAGGACCAATTTAAAGATGTGAACGATTCAGACCTGAAGGCAATGGATGGTCAGATCTCAGAGCTTGGTGCAGAGCTGCAGTCCCTCACACAGAGCTGCAGACAGCTAGATGCAGGTAGACACTGCTGACCTGTGGAACGTGTTTCAGTGCATAAAACGCTGTTGTAAGGATTTTCTCTGAAAAGTTCAATCATTTGCCACTAGAGCTGAAGGAGCTGAACAGTTCCCTCACAACTGAGGACATGGTGGCAGAGATAAAGGAGCTGAAAGCTGAGAATTCTGGGTACAAAGCTCGTCTGGAGAAGATAAAGTCSGCTACAAATCATGTCACACCAGAAGAGAAAGAGAAGGTGGGAATGTCTCGAAAACAAAATTGTTACTTCTGCATTTCCTGTACAATAACTTATCGTTTGTTTGAATGAACAGGTTTATAAAGAGCGAGATGTTTATGGGAAAGAGTGGAAAAAAAGGAAGAGACTGGTAAATTCTRTAAATTTGAAATTGTAGCTTTTGTAAGGAAATGTTTAATTATGGTAAAAAAAAAATTTTTTTTTCATTTCTTTCAGGCTTCAGACATGATAAACGCCATCCTGGAGGGATATCCAAAGAGCAAAAAAGAGTTACTGGTGAGCGAAAGCAACAAAATCAACTGTTCAAAATGTAAAATCCTACAAAATGCTTAACGTTATTTTCTCTTTTTTATAGGAAGAAGTTGGAGTGGAGACTGATGAAGACTGTAAGGTGGCTCCCCCAAGCACATGAACAAGGACATGTTCATCAATTCAAGTCTGCGTGGACCGTATCTGAGAAAACAATTACACATCACAGCAGTCTGAGCAGCAGTGTATTCTTTATTTATTACATTTCTTTTGAAATAAATAGTAAAATSTTTTGTAAATTCTGACGAGAAAAGAAAAAAAAATCAAACTCCAAGTATATTTGTACAAAATTTGGGACTGCACTGAGGGATGGTTGTGATCCTTTAGGCAACTGTGGTTTCTGTTGTCCCTATTTTAAAACATTAAAGCAATCCTGAGCTTACAGAGAAAATGTCAAATTATTCATAAAAGCAGTCCTTTTGTTGTTCTCATGTTTACATTTTGCAGTGAACTGTTTCATGTTTTTTTTCACTTGTTTTACTCAAAGGTTTTATATTTTTAGCCATAAAGTTCGACTCCTGAAAACATATAAGCTGTTTTATTATAGATTCTATGCAAGACGAGCGGTCAGCACTGCAAACCTGTATGATTTTGTCGTGTTATCTTGCAGTTTTCCTACATTGTATTTTAGGTAAATTTAAGGGAAAATAAAATAACTGACACCGCTCTCCGAAAAGTGATTTGATTCATCACTGGTGCCATCTAATCTAATAAAACTCAGCATTATTAGTGATTTATTTCAAACCACCAGAAGCAATTCGAACCTGCAATTTAGAGAAAGGTTCAGTCAAAACATGTTTTCAAATAGAAGATCATGACCTTTTTAATGTAAAATTTACATTTCTTGTATTCATTTTTTCGTGTAAAAAGAGTTGAACATATTTTCTACAGGAAATAGACAAATCAAAGAGCTTCTCATTTATGAATCAAATATTTTCAAAGATTTACGTTTCTAACCAGGAACCTGTTTGGCTTTCAGAAAGACGGGAATAATTTTCTGATCAGAACAACTCTCATAAGTAAACATGTCTCAAAAATAGAATTAAAACAAGTTTCCACCTTTCATTGCATTTAAAAATAAATCAGAAATTTAAAAGGATCATCATCGTCTTTTTAACAAGTTTGAAAATACTGATTTTGACTGCAGCTGCAGCTAAACCATCACAAATAAAAAGCTGTCTTCTRGCCAACTGCGGCATATTTACAACATTTCAAAAGTTCTGGATCATATCCAAACTCCACCTGTTTCAACCTGAAGTCTCGTCACACCAAAGGCAACAGAGTATTTAAAATTAAGCAACGTTATTTCCGAGGCACCACATAACATCCTAATGAACACATATATTAAACAAACATTAAAGTGCCTGAAAACCCTGTAATAACGTAGGGAAAAGATTTCAATTATCCAATAAAAACCAGGAGTGGCTCTGTTCATGCACCACAGTTTGAAGCTTATTATACGTCTTGATTATGTGTTCTCTGCCTTCTGTCTGCAGCCAGTGGCCAAGCAGAATCAATACTATCAATTTACTACATCTATAAGTAGTCTTAACTGGTTTTGACTCCTCTAAATGCTGAACTCAAGTTACTGCATTAAGTAATTAGCTGCGTGCCAAAATACACTCATGTATCTGGATGTAACTCTCAGTGACAAAGAGTAAGTGATTCCTCTCAGGATTTACTCAATCCAAGACCTTTTTTTTGTGTTAATCTCTGTCCAGAAAATGTGATGAGGTAATCCAATTGCAGCCAGGGAGACACTGATGAGCTGAAGTGAGTGTAAATACTGAGGCYAGGCATGAAGCAATCCATCCTGAGAGGCGAGAGCCAGTCAAAAGTCTTATTTCTGGAAGTTCGCTCGAGGGTTTCCCCCCTCAGTCAATAAAGCTGCCCGTTGAGCTGTCGGAGCACTCCAACAACAAACTCGCGCAGCGTCTTTAAAAAGAACAGAGGGAACGGTCATTAACTCAGAACAACGATCTCTGGTTTCTCGCATATTCGAGCCAAAGCGTCCCTCACCTGTGGCTTGCAGTGCTCCTCGATCCAGCTAAAAACGCAGGCGGACAGTTCCTGGAAGCTGCTCGTTGAAACAGAGTTACTGAAAGACACGAACAGGGAGTCCATGATGCTCTGAAAGATGTTGAACTTGACCTGGTCAGAAACCTGATCCTCGCCCTGCTGTGGGTTGTTCTGGTGGGCCTTCACGATGTGCTCATAGTTCCTGTTTAGAAAGACAATTCATTTAACGGCCACAGKTTTTTCATTTAAAAAAATGTTCATAAAATTCACTAAATGGTTTCCACAGTTGATTAGCATCGCTTCAAAACTYAAAATTTAGCTACAAGGATGCAAAACAGTTCAAATTTTGGATTGAAAACAGAGCAGGTATTTTTTAAGATAAGTGGAAGTCAGTTTTATCACATTCAGACTGACATAAAAAGCAGATTTGGGTCAAAAAAAAAAAGGATTTGGGCCACTTTCTTGAAGTGCGTACTTAAAGTTGAAAATAAGGATGTCAATTTTTGTCTCACGTTTTCATGATCTTCAGTGCCATCACTTCTTTCCTCAGGATGGAGACTTCCTCCTCTTGCTTTTTCTTTTCTTTATGAAGAAAATGGATGTAGTCAATTGCTAAAAGTGTGAAACAAAGAGAAGCATTAGTCAGGGATCTCTTCACAATACAGGAAAGGTAAAACGTGATGTTTTCATTGCTGTTTCTCCTTTTGCCTCGTTCAAAATGTGCCATTCTGACACATTATTATTTAACCCAGAGGTTCCCAAACTTTTTGTCTTCTGACCTGCAAAATATCCATGGCAAAAACTTGTGACCCCAAATATTACTGGTCTGAGTACACGAACTTTGTGAATAACCATAAAAATACAGGCTTTTTGACATTCTAAACAGTTTGTATACAAATTTAAACACTTATTTATAGTTATTTTGTGTTTTGTAATATTTATAGGGAAATATTACATCAGCAATTATTTTATTACCCTTTAAATTGATTTCTAAAGATTATCCAAGGTGCTTCATGACCCATAATTGGGTCCCAAAGTGCAGTGGTTCTCAAACTTTTCAGCTTTTGACCCACAAAATAACAGTAGAGACCTGGCCCCCAACTATATTTGGATGATAAACATTTGTATCAGGTCAACAAAACATGGGCATAGTAACAATATTTTTATACTAAATTTATCTATTTTAAATATACTATCCTCACTCATTTGTAACAACTAAGGCAAAAATGTAATTCATTCAGAAAATCTTTTCAGGACCCCACCTTGAAGTTTCGGGACCCCACTTTGGGTCCTGACCCCAACTTTGGGAAACACTGATTTAACCTAAGCATGCAAGGTTCTCTATACTCTCTTTTCTGTGTTTGCAGGTGTAGTTTTATGCACTTTCAAATGCAATTTAGTATTAATAGAAAGCCTGTTAGGCTGCCATCCATGAAAAACACAAAACAAATAAAGCTCGACTTTTACAAAACAGCTTAATTAAGAGGAAATGTAATTTCCTTTCTCTACAAAATAAGCTTGTAATACTGCTTTGGAATGCTTAATCACCACCAACACAATAAATAAATAAAATGTGATTTAATTAAAATAAAAGCCAGTCAGTTGCTCATATTTGATTTCTTTTTTCCATGTGCAGTTTTGTCAGATCACATCTTACTTTTCTGCAGAATAGTAGCCTTGCTGATCTTCTGAGCTCCAACTGCAAACTCAGACTGCTGCTGGCAGGTGGGCACGATCGACTGCAGGTCATCGTAGCCTTTCTGTTGTTAGAAAAAGCCGTGAACAATGAGCGTTTAAAATTAAACGCTTCATTGTGTCGAAAGCTGAGATGATCCAACCTTGATTGCGTCCCTGCGCTTTTGCTCAGCCTGTGTGTGCGCTTGTCTCCGTCGATCTTTATACGAGTCCTTATAGGACGTCTCGTGCCTGTAGTCGCTGTCTTCATCATCTGTTTGAGACCACAGAGTTTATTGTGGAAAATGGAACTGATGTTGCCATTTGGCATCTGTTACCTCACAAACATGATTTACAACTATCTTATTGTTATACAGCCATTTCATTTTTTTCAACATAACAATAAACGTTTACTTGTTGAGCTGACCCAAAATCAAAAATTATCTGACTGTAAATTTTTGAAGTAATTAAAAAATAGAAGAAACCTGGCATTATTTATCAGTGGAATTATTATTAGAATATATTTTTTTGAAGTTCAATTGTTGAAAATTTTTACCAAGTGCAAAGCAAAATGGAACACAGTTCTGTAGCAGTGAATACATTTGTTCAAACATACGTTACACTGCTAGACTCATTTTAACATGCTCAATAGTTCCTGCTCTTTTCTAAACACTCGGGCCAAACACACCAAATGACACTTTAATTATCAGGACAGGTTTAATAATTTATTTGAGGCAGAAAACAAAAACAAGTATCCTCTGTGTGCCATTTGTATTAAACCTTTGCGTTACATTTGAGATGACAAGAAGTCCAGCAAGCGCTTACGTTGCAATCCAAACATAGAAAAGATTGCATCGAGTCAAACTGAGCAAGAAGCAATTCATTTCTATAATAAACAAAATACCTGTATTTGGCACTGAAGAGGCACTTGTTGATCCAATACTGTTGGCTCTGGAAACAACGCTACCCTTTCTTATAGTTTCAGCAAAGAAACCTAGTAAACAAAACAGTATTCATCAAATAAAAAAAGAGCTATTTGAACTTGCCTACAAACAAATGAGAATAACATTTTTAAACCCAAATATAAAATTAGATGAGGGGGGAAAAAAGGATATAAAATGAGAAAGTACTCACTTGTGTCAAAGCCACTGTCACTAAAAGCCCCATCTGTCTGCCCAGCCATCACCAAGGAACAATAAATAAATAAATAAATTTAAAAAAGAGGAGAACAGAAGCTGTGAGGTTGGGATGAAGAGGTTTGTGTTGACAAAGGACAAAACAGTAAGCCATTTCAAAAAACCCCACTGAGTMTTGCCCTGATTTGACCAATTCAAATATAACAGGTGGGAAGCTGTGACAGCTTCAATCACAGATCTATTGTTGATGTAGGCCATCAAAACACAAAGCTTATGTTAGTTTGCATTATTGRCAATTCTGTGAGACAGCTGGGTTGTTTTATGGCGAAGTGGTCACTAGTTTGTGAAACTGCTCTAAATGTACTTTCTGTACTTTTTTTAGTGAGGGCAAAAACGGCTTTTCTGTTCGTGTTGTTGTTGACTTGTACGTGCAGGTGACGATCTGTATTATGAGCAAGATCWTTTAAATCGACTAACACAAATTGTCCTTTTCTGTGGGTTTTGTTTACTTAGCTAGCCTGCTCGGCTAACAGCTACAAACGTCATCAAGCTAACGTCGTTAGCTAGCTGTGGCGCTATGAAAACCAACCACTGTCTATGTTCCATCCTCAGCGCTTAGACAACGGTGTAGGCTATCACTGCTGCTACAGACACACAAAAAATATACGAACTGCTCTTTAAAAAGGTTGAGCGTTAATAAATGTTACTTACTTTCCAGTGGTCCTCTGGAGACGTCGGATCAGTCATTTTGGAATGCTAAATAACTAATAATGCTGTTGCCTTCAGGTGCTCCTTGAAAAAGTCATAAATGCTGTTGAAATATTTGTGTAATTTCAAGACAACGAAACTATGTCCAACATAAAAGGCATTTTTTGGAATGATTTTAATTATTTGTGGCTAATTCTTTTAAACTATTTGAAAGCCTTTTAAGACTTGTTCGATTTTACGACAAAGAAAATACAGCACACATCCTATGCTGAAATTCATCTGATGACCCTTGAATGCAGCACAAGCACCTGCAGTATTTCACTTTGAACGCARGAGGGCGCTGTTTCACTATTATTATAAGCGTGAACCTGCCTTTACCTGACAGGCATCTTTGACCTGCCTTCAGATAGCAAAACAAACGCAACTCCAATGCAAATACAAAGACTTTAGTTTTATGGTAAAGTAAGGACTTTTTCTTTTTTTATTTCTTTTTTCACCTGCTGATGCACTTGGTGTGTTCACTTACATGATCCTTATTTATTTTCGCCACATTATCCCACACTTGTATCTATGAAACCAACACTACCACTTTGTTCTTTCACCCTGTCCCCCACACCAGGTTCTGTTGCTGTCATACACAGGAAGTTGCTCTTCTGCTTTTGTGCTTCTGTGGTTTCTGTGTGTTACAGACTGTGTCACACTCCCCTCTCCTTCCTCTCGCTCAGGCCTCGGTTCTTTTACTCAGCAGAGGAGTCCTCAGTCAACCAGAGTTGAGAAAAGTTAGCGAGACGGCGGTAAGTCCCTTCTTGCTTTTGACAGACCCTAATTAGGGTTTCATTTTATTTTCAAAAAATATTTGTAGACAGATGTGCTCGTGACAGGACAAACATGAAGACYACCCTTCTGTTTTCATCATCTGGACTAAAAAGGATTCCTTGAAGCAGAAGTTGACATTTCTWATCTTCAAACGTCTGAACCCTGTTTCTTTAGAGTGATCCCTTTTTGTCACTCTGCTTTGGAATACACAGATTAATTTTTTTTTAAGTGAAAGGGTTTGTGCACAGCTTTCCTCCTGGATTACGTGTGGAGATTAGTGATGGGGAATGCGGCTGTAGGGGGCTTGGAGCAAGAACCTTCTGAAGGCAGAGAGGCCAGGAACTCAGTCGGGGCAGCTTCAYCCATGAGCGAGCCAACACTGACCTTGCAGAAGAAGCAACCGGCTCCCCCAAAACTTCCCATGCCCCCAGAGGAGGAGCTGGATGAGCGCTTCAACGCAGTGCTGGTAAGTGTCTGAGGTACACACCCTTGTAAGAAAACAAAGGATAGCATTGAAACTCAAAGGATCACACAGGTAATGGTAATTAGCCTGGATGCACAGGAACAAAAACATACACCGAATCCATCAGATGTGATTTAAAGTAGGAAAAGTAACAGCATTTTTGTTTAATTTGCTGCAAATTTTGCTGTCAAAATGCAAGTAAAAACAGGAGAACGTGCTTTCTACAATTGTTCCCCTCACATTTTATTGTAATGTGTCTTTACAGGGGTTTAAAACAATAATTCATGACTTGTCTCGCAGAGTTACAAATATTCACCTGCAATTACAAACTTCTTCTATAAATTCAAAAAGAGGTCAGGCTTGGAGATGGGTGATTAGTGCGTGCATGGGTAGCTCAGCCTCAAGGGGAAGTTGGGCAACATATTTATATGAAAGAGTGTAGAACCGGAAAGCAAGTGTTTCACCATTCTTTCAACAGTCTAAACCCAAGTTTAAAAAAGCCCAAATTTCATTAATACTTGCAGAAAACAATGTGAAAAGGACGTTTTTGTAGCCCTGCTCAAATTGTAATTTCAATTTTTTTTGCTGTATATCAGTAATAAACATAWAAAAAAAGATTGATGTTAGTTTATTGATCCCAAGGGGAAATTACAGCACCTGATATTTAAAAAAAGTTAAAGATCATTTTTTTATCTCAAATTGGCCAAACATTTCATAAAACAGTCTAAAAAAATAAACTGAACAGTAAAGGTTATTGTGACACATCTCAGTCAGTAACATTAGAATCAAAACAGTCTATTCATTTCTGAAACAGTACTTCAAACCCATTCATCATAACCATGACATCAGGATGCATCATCGTTTGTTGTCGTTTGTGTAGAAATAGTAAAAAAAGCAACTCTTCATACATCAAATATCTCCATTATTCTGGTTATTTTGCAAGAAGTCAGTGAGATATCTGGGGACAGAAAACATGTCTCTGTTGAGTTTAGATTGATGTTGGTGCTTTTTTTGTTTAAAGATGTGATGTCTGGTGCTAAAAAAAAACAAAAAAAAAAACTGCCAAACACCCAGACCTGTCACACGTTGTTCTGAATCAGATGCTCTAAATAAAAACGACAACAACGTCTGTTCCTGGATGCTTATCAAGTCGTCAAAAGAAGAAATGATGCAACCCAAGAATAAACACACCACTGACGACAGCAAATTTCAWTTTAACCAGAAACGACTCAAGAGATCAGTAAAAATTACAATTAACTACTGGATTGTTTGTCTGTTAGCAAAATATCTCGTGAATCACTGAATGGATTTTAGTGAAACTGAACGTTATCCTTAGARGTGCATCAACAACTCATTAACTTCTGGAGTTGTTCCAATTTAATWAGACAAACACTACTTAACTTTAGCCAACATAAAAATGGTTATAACTCAGTCGATTTTCAAGAATTTGAGTTAAAATTTGGTGCTCTTAACACGTACTTTAGAGCTAAAAGATCCCACAGGATGTCACAATATACGAGGTTGAGYTGACATCACTTCACAAAACGTCTTTAATCACTGAAAGTAAAAAAACGAGTGAGACAAAGCTTCTGAAAATGTAAATATGTGAGCATAAATATTTTATTGACATATTTGTGAAAGATGGCGCGCGCAGCCGGAAACCTGCAGCACCCTCCCCTGCATCATATGAACGTATGACCTCACTTCCTCTTTTAGCAGAATCTCTCCACTGTTCTGTTAAGATGTGACAAAAAAAATTGTAAGCCGGGACTCCGTTTTTGCACCAGAAAACTCTAAGAGAAAAAGAGAAGGTCCACCTTTCCTTCATTGCTACACAGTTTCATCTAAGTTTAAATAATTTAAAAAAAGTGAGCGATTCATCATTTTAGGGCTCGGTCCGGTGCCACAGAAAAAGCCACAGGAGGGCTCCTCCCTTACCCCACCTAGGATGAAGCTCAACTCCTCAGCATCGAGGCAACGGGTCGTTTCCGTTTTGAATGTGTTTTTTTTTTAGATGTGAAAAAGAAACGACAAACCGCTTCTCAAGTGTACACATGTGGAAACCACACCCAGAGTCGACAAAAATGGATTTGTCTTATCAGTAAATGTGTGTTAGAGGACAGGTTCACAGAACAGAGAAGTTGTTTGGATATTTGTTTCAGCAAAACAAAATGTGTATGAGTAGTTTGGCACAAACTTGCCTGAAACTTCTTCAAATTTAAAGGAGACCAATTATGGGTCCTAGAAATGTTTATGGTATGTCTGTGGGCTATCCAGACCATGTTCATTCAATTTAATGCACAAAATAATTCTCAGACAATAAAATTTCCCATTTTCTAGTTCTGCCTGCTCTGACTGCCTTTCAGAAGAGCTGTTTATGTTAATGAGCTCTGTTGGTGCCGCCCTCCAAAAATCTGTTGACATTAACTCCGCCCTCTAAAAATCTGTTGACATTAACTCCGCCCTCCAAAAATCTGTTGACATTAACTCCGCCCTCCAAAGCCAGCATTTACATTAGCATGGCTAATAATAGCAGAAGCTCCTTTGTACAACCATATGAGACCCAGAGACAGAGTCGTGGTCGCAGCTTCTTTCTTTTTTTTTTCTCCCCCTCCTCTGCTCTGCGCTCACTCTGCATGCAGTTATCAGAGCAGGGAGCAGCAGCGGTCAAAATACCTCAGAAACTCGAACAAATAGACTTTAACAAGGCTTTAATAAGCTAAACAATAGAGGTACATGAAAAAACGTGTTCATAACGAACGAAAATAAATAAATAATTAAATTATGTCCATGCCAGTGTTGAACCCTGGTCTCCCACTCTGGTCCAACACGCTACCCATTGCCCTATTGGAGACTTGTTGTAAAATTTGCTGTGCATTGCACAACAACACGGTGACGGCTTTTTATACTGAGGAGGTGGAGTCTCACCCAGGGGTTGCTAGGTAAGGGGCTGAACGCAGGTTCCGGTGGGTTGTCATACAGCTTGTGACATCACAAAATGACGGAAGTATAAAACTTTTCGTTAATATACATTAAAAGTACATTTACTTACAGTAAATATGCCCCTGGGTGCATTTTTTTTTTTGGTCCTAGGACAGTTTCTTAAAGAAGTACATACCCAAAGTTGAGTAAAAAAAACCTTTAAAAAGTGAATTTTGCATAATAGGTCCCCTTTAAATAAAACCCATATGTCCTTTGAATCTTAAACCTTTCAGAGGAAAAACATTACAGCTKTGAGAAATGTGACATTTTTTCAGTGGGTTGATTTCAGTCATTCAAACAGAAACTTTTCTTATGACTGAATAAACCTTCACTGAGATACCGTGAAGGTGGGGGTTTTACTCTGATCAACATCGTGCAAAGTTGTTCTAATTCTCATTCGTGATCTCCTGGCTGATAAATGCTCATGTCTGCGTCTGTTAGCAAAATATCTCATAAACKACAGTTTGGATTTTAAAGACTCTTTCAGGAAATCATCACTGGATGTAAATCTACAACCGATTAACTTTCAGAGCCAATCCAAGATACAGCCTACTGACTTTTAAAAACACACAAAAAATGCTTACAACTTGACTGATACTGAGGTTGTTTTGATGTATAGAGTCGTACTCAACATTTTCTCTGATCTTCAGCTCTCGTTGACCCGTTAACACGAACATTTACCTAGGAGATATTTGTTAGGTATGCTGGTATCACTTGACAACCAGGAAGATGATTACAACACATGTAAACACTGAGTCATGTGCAGACTGTTACCACTCTTCTGCTTTCACTGAAATCACCTTGCAGTTTTATGAATTTAAAACGTCACATAAGCAGGAAGGATCAAGAAATATTGGACGAAAGTGAAAATTTTAAAGGAGACATAAGCAAAATGGACTTTTTTAGCCGTTAAATACATTTTGTTGAGAACTTGGAGTAAGAGMCAGAAAAGTTTAATTTAGTTTCTCCTGGTGCTGCGTAGATATCTTTATAATCTGTTTAGGTCATTTTTTCAGTTCAGTTTTCATTATTTTCTATGGCATTTTCTGAATGGGACATGAAGCACCTTTGATTTGAAAGAGACAGCTTCAAAACGAGTTGATCTGACACACCTCAGAAAAGGYGCGGGGCTTGTGGAGTTACAATAAGGAGGAAGTCAGACCAAGGCATTGCAGTTCCACCTTATATAGTCCCCAACTGGATGATTTAAATGTAAAGAAGAAGGATTTAAGTTTCTTTTTCCCTAAAAAAAAAKKAWTTTTTTTTTTGCTGAAGCCTCTTATAACCACATCTTTTTTTCTGTCTCTTTCAGAGCTCCATGAACTTGCCTCCAGACAAACTGAAGCTGCTGAGTCAGTACGACAGTGAGAAGAAATGGGAATTAGTGTGCGACCAGGTGAGATCTCTAACATTTATGATTCATAATGTCTGAAAAACCATGTCGCACAGCGGAGTTCTTGCTCCGGTGCCTTCAGTGGCACAGAGCTGACACAAAGTACACAAATAGACACACTCAGAAGGTGTGTGGTGTGTGCAACTTGAAGCGAGGTTTCCGTGGTGGCAACTGATGCAGGTGTTGGCATGGAAACAAAGAGCGGTTCATTTGTCTGTGTATTTACAGGCAGCTGCTGTCATCTTGGGTTTCTAATAATAATGAAAGCAGTAAAAAAGTAAACGCTGGTCTCTCTGTGTTTTTATATTCAGGAGCGTTTTCAAGTGAAAAGCCCCCCGTCCACTTATTTGGCCAAGATTAAGAGTTTCTACCTGGATCAAGGAGGCGTGTCTCGTCGGGTCAGTGGGAAGCTCGTCTTCCTTTTACATCTAACGCAGGTTTAAGAGCACCGGTGTCCTGATGCGACCTCTACTTCTCCTTTAGTTAAAGAAAAGAATCCAAGATGCCACGCAGGTCCTCAAGGCCTTGGAGATCTCCCTCCGGACCAATCACATCGGGTAAGAACGCTGAACTGGATCGAGCCACAACTGCTTTTTGATTATTAGATGTACTCATTAGCACCATGCTAGCAGCTGAAAAACTGGTTAAAGCACTGAAAAAAATATAATAATTTAGTGTTACCGGTTATTCAGGTGTGATTTTTTCCCCCCAAAGTAAACTTATAATTCAACTGTAAATTTAACCAAAACTGCAGCTCTGCTCCTCCTGCTGGGTTGTTTTTTGAGACAGCTGCCTCCTGCTGGACCTGCTGGACCAGAATGTAGAAGAAAAAATATATATCCAGTCACTTGTCCTGCTTTCAGGGTCTTAAAAGTCAATCTGATGTAGATATTTTTGTTCCATATAGCATCAGCAGTGGTAAAAAAAAAAAAAAAAAAAAAAAAAAAAAAAAAAAAACTCAGGAAGAGTGCAAAGAAAACAGTTGTCATTCATCATTTCTGAACCATTTACTGTTATTTTTGTAAAAAAAACTAGAGAAACAGCCTTTTCTGCAAAAAAAAAGGTAACGCTGAAGGAGTTTGCTAAAACAGAACAGTAGTTAAAAKTACAACCTAACCTTTATAAAACTGAAAACTGAATGCATGTCAAGTGTAATTATGGAGTATGAGAAGGGACCGGTTTAAATAAGTTTTACTTCTTCCTACCCCTTTTCAGACATGTTAAATGGGATTTATGTGTTATGTGTATTGTTATGTATGTATATGTAGATAGGGGTGCACACATTAGTTATATATTTATGTTACAGGTTTATTT